TTATATACAGGCTTACAGCACAGTGGAAAAACCCCAGTTGGAAGAGAGTTGTTTTCCTCTTGCTAGATGTTGATGCCAGTGGGGCAATGTGGGGGCAGTAAGCCAGGACTAGAGAACAGGATGCACCTGTGGCTGTCAGCTGACAAACAACTCAGAGACCCTGTGAGACTAGGCCCCAACAGAGAAGAAGGTATATTCTTTTATGTTTGGGTGGAATGTTCTATAGATGCCTGCTAAACCCAATTAGGCCATAACATCAGTTAGCTATCTGCAGTCTTCTACATGCCAATATCCAGTTACTCCAGCACCATTTGTTGAAGATGCTCTCTTTTTTCCCTTGTATATTTTTAGCTTCTTTGTAAAAAATCAAGTGTTCATAGGTGTGTGGATTAAGATCAGGGTTTTTAATTCGATTCCATTTGTCTACCTGTCTATTTCTGTGCCAATATCAAGCTGTTTTCAGGACTATAGCTCTATAATAGAGCTTGAAGTCAGGGATGGTGATGCGGATCTAGAACCAGGCTGGCGCGGCAGAGCCCAGGCGACTGGCGGGGGATAAACCAAAGCAGCTAGCAAAAGAAATAGCTTCTCTTAACATAATGGTGATCAGGAGTGGGATTGAATTTCCACGTAGAATGACAAAAGCTTTAAAGGAATTTTAGAAACAGACGAATGGAGAGAAGCATAGATTTTGGTATCAGCATTTTTCTCAGGTGTGCTCTGTTTTGCTATCGACAAGCTGAGATTCACGTGGCTCGCTTACTGGAGTCTTCCTGACTTGGCATAAAAAAAAAAACCCAGCAAGGTTGTTTTAAGAGACTCTGCTAATGATGGAAAGGTGTGTACGTACAGCTGGAAGTGACAGCTTTTGCTGGATGTCAGCATGGACTGAGGCAGTAAGCTGGAGTCACGCTTATGCCCGCCATCTTGAAAAAAAAAACGGCAGTTTAAAACAGCCGCGGTTTTAACACGTGGCCAGAAAAACATAAAGATTTACAGTAAAGTCGGACTTGGATGGACAAAACCTCTAACGGTTTACATTGTGTTTAAAAATATACGTGAGATTGAGAGAGAAAATGAAATGGCAAAGTGGTAAATAAATACAAAAGCCAGCGTTGTGGTGGTGCTCGCCGGTAGGATTTACTCCAGAGGCAGAGGCAGGCAGGTTTCCAAAGAAACCCTGTCTCAGAGAAAAATAAATAAAAGTAAAATAAATAAAGTAATAATAAATAAATAAATAAGCCACGTAAAGATGGAAAATACACAGAGAGTCTGGATACTGTACGCTATTATGTTTTTCAGTTTTTTGCTTGCTCAGGAAGGAACTGCTACTAAAGTACACTTGATTATAAATGCTGCTGAATTAATCCAACTTCTATCTTTTAAAAATGCCTTGACTTCAAAATTTAAGTGTAAGGATATGTTACTCGGAAAAGGAGTTTTTATTTATGTTTCTACAGAAAATGAAAAGCTGAAGATTTCTTCCAGGCTTCTGTGGTTTCACGAACCAAGACCCCCAGAAGCAGTGGACCAGGTGTTCCAACAACTGAAACAGCTAAGATGATGCAGCTTTACAGACCCCGAAAATATGGACTTATAAAGGTTTCTGAGTTTTGTCATGATCCCCATGGTGTGAACAGCGCCCCCTTCCAGCAGGAAGCAGTTTGGAATGAGCGACGTCCCAATTCCCATCTTGTTTATAAATCTTTGTTTTCATTTAAATGGGATTGTTTATAATTGGCTAGTGATCACAGCCAATCTCTTTTAATGGTAAAAAGGGGAATTATGGTATGGGTATTGTTTTTCATTTATTGAGACAAAATCAAGGTCAATTTTGTGATGCTTATATTTCTCCTCTTGATTAAGTATTGTGCTTATACTGATCTTTTACAACGTAATGCATAATTGAATACAGACTATAGATAGTTACTTATAATAGAATTTCTAGTTACATAAGTTAGGTTTCTAGATATACAGAAATATATTTGAGATGGACAGTCTTCAAACCTCTCAAAGACCTTCAGAACATGGCATTTAAAATGGTGTAGGGTTTGTCTTGACAATGAGAAATGTCTGCTCCTGGCAGCACCAATTACGTCTGAGAGGAAGATGGGCATCGAAGAAACTCGTTATAAAGTTTGCTTTCAACATGGCAAGATTAGCCATTTGGGCAAGAAACTGCTCTTGCCTAGATTGTTTGACTGTTGTTGTATCATCTGGACATGCAGGACCCACAGGAAAGTGACTACTGAACTCAGTCTTACAGGGTTCCTGCTTGATGAAGAGTCTATGAGACTTTCTGCAGGACAAAGAAAAATGACTGACAGACTGCCAACGCAGATGGACAGTTTGAAATTTCCTGCTTTGCTGAGAAGTGTTCCAGACACATTGTGGCCTATGGGCTGAAGATGGATGCCCCAACGTTACAGAGGAACTTCGGGTGACTGTCCAGGCAGTAAGATGTCTCTGTCAATCCTAGTGTTTATATATTATCCTTCTGTGGTCTTTGATGGAGTTGAAGACAGATAGTTATAATTATAGTTTTCCTTAGTTATGATAAAAGATAAGCTACATATAGAACTTTGGACTCACAAGGATGGGATGGATGATATTTTCTTTAAATCTTGCTAAAATATTGTAACTATGTTCTTACTTGATAACTGTTCTGTCATATACAATTTGACTATGTTAAAATTAAGACCTTTCTTTTGTTTAAACAGAAAAGAGGAGATGTTGGGGAAGTCCTGTTATTTGCCTGTGCATTTGTCAATAAAGTACTGTCTGGCCAATAGAAAACCTAGATAGGAGGGACTAGGAGTCGAGGAGGATTCTTGGAAGGGGAAACACAAGAGAGTCGACATGTAACGCCGGGTAGGAGCCCGGAAACTTCTCCGGTAAGAAACATACTTAGATTAACAATTATGGGGTAATTACTTAAGGCAGAGCTAGCCAGTAAGGGACAAGCAAGGCCAACAGCTTCATAATTAATACAGCCTCCTGTGTGTTTATTTGGGACTCATGCGGATCTAGAACCAGGCTGGCACGGCAGAGCCCAGGCGACTGGCGGGGGATAAACCAAAGCGGCTAGCAAAAGAAATAGCTTCTCTTAACAGTATATTGCTTTTATTTTGTTTAGGCATGTTCCTGTTATCCCAGATCTTTCCAAGATTTATCATGAAGGGGTGTTGGATTTTGTCAAAGGATTTTTCAGCATCTAGTGAGATGATCATGTGATTTTTGTTTCTCAGCTTGTTCATATGGTGGATTACATTTATGGATTTTTGTATGTTGAATCATCCCTGCATCCCTGGGATTAAACTTACTTGATCATGGTGGATGATTTTTCTGATGTGTTCTTGGATCCGATTTGCCAGTATTTTATTGAGTACTTTTGCGTCAATGTTCATGAGGGATATTGGTCTGAAGTTATCTTTCTTAGTTGTATCATGTGTAGCTTGGGTATCCAGGTTATTGGAGCCTCGCAGAAAGAGTTTGGCAAAGACCCTTCTGCCCCTATTGCGTGGAATACTTTGAGGAAAATTGGTATAAGTAGATCTTTGAATTTCTGGTAGGATTCTGCACTGAGGCCATCTGGACCTGGGCTTTTTTTGGTTGGGAGACTTTTGATGACTGTTTCTATTTCTTTAGGTGTTATAGGTCTATTTAAATGGCTTATCTGTTCTTGATTTAATTTTAGTAAGTGATATCTATCCAGAAAAATTTCCATTTCCTTTAAATTTTCAAATTTTGTGAAGTACATGTTTTCAAAGTATAACCTGATGATTCTCTGCATTTTCTCAGTGTCTGTTTTTTGTCCCCTTTTCTTTTCTGGTTTTGTTAATTAGCATGCTGTCTCTCTGCCTTCTGCTTAGTTTGGATAAAGGTGTGCTTATCTTGTTTATTTTAGTAGAACTAACTCTTTGTTTCATTGATTCTTTGTATTGTTTTCTTTGTTTCTACTTTATTGATTTTTGCCCTCAATTTTTTAATTTCCTGGTGCTTATTCCTCTGAAGTGAGTTTGCTTCTTTTTGTTCTAGAGCTTTCAGTTGTGCTGTTAATTCTCTAGTGTGAGTATTTTACATTTCCTTTATGTGGGTACTTAGTGCTATAAACTTTCCTCTTAGTACTGGTTTCAATGTGACCCATTAGTGTGGGTTTGCTGTGTCTACATTCTCCTTGAATTCTAGGAAGTCTCTAATTTCTTTTTTTATGTCTTCCTTAACCCAGGAATGGTGCAATTTCCTGTTGTTCCATTTCCATGATTTTCTAGGGTTTCTCAATTTGTGTTGTTTTGAATTCTAACTTTAATGCATATATGGTGGTCTGATAAAATACAGGGTGTTATTCCAATTTTTTAACCTGTTGATGTTTGCTACATTGCCAAGTATGTGGTCTATTTTAGAGAAGGTCCCATGTGGCTCTGAGAAGATATATTCTTTTGTGTTTGGATGGAATTTTCTATGGATGTCTGTTAAACCCAATTGGGTTATAACTTCTGTTAGTTCCTTTGTTTCTTTGTTAAGTTTATGTATGGTGGTTTTGTCTAGTGGTGACAGCGGCATGTTGAAGTCTCCCACTATAACTGTGTGAGTTCTTATGTGTGATTTGAGTTTTAGTAATGCTTCTTTTACAAACATGGGGGGCATAGGTGTTCAGAATCGAGACTTTATCCTGATGAATTTTCCCTGTGATGAATATAAAATGGCCTTCCTCATCTCTTCTGATTGATTTTAGTTTGAAGTCTAATTTGTTTGATACTAGGATAGCTACACCAGCTTGTTTCTTTGTTCCATTTGATTGGAAAATCTTGTCCCAACCCTTTACTCTGAGGTAGTGTCTGTCTTTGAAGTTGAGTGGTGTTTCTTGTATGCAGCAGCCAGATGGATTCTGTCTTTGTATCCATTCTGTCAGTCTATGTCTTTTTATAGGTAAATTAAGACAATTAATATTGAGTGATATTTTTTAGACTTATTTTTGGTGGTGGTATTGTATGTGAGGCAAAAATATGGAAAGCTTCACAAATTTGCATGTCATCCTTGCCCAGGGACCATGCTAATCTTCTCTGTATTGTTAAATTTTAGTATATGTGCTGCAGAAGTGAGCACAGTTTTTGTTTTCTTTATTACACCCATTTCTGTTTTCAAGTCTTGGACTTGTTTGGTTGTTTTTTTATGTTTTCTTTAAGGGATTTATGGATTTCCTCCAATTTTCATTGTTTGTTTTTTTCTACATTTCTTTATGGGAATTCTTCATTTTATTATCTTGATCAAATTATTTTTAAGTTTGCTTTCTTCTTCTCCTGTGCTGCAATGTTCAGGTCTTCCTGATGTAGTACCATTGGATTCTGGTGTTGCCATAATGTTCTTTATGTTATTGAATGCATTCTTGTATTGATGTCTACCCATCTCTTCTTCTGCTTGGTGTAGTCAATGACTTTGCTTCTTGATTCAACCCTCTTAGTTCTCTATTTTAGCTCTCTCTGTGCAGTAGGTTTTAGTGTCCCAGGAAGTTGATGAGGTTAATTGGAATCAGTAGGACTGGGGGTAGAGTGGGATTTGTAGGTTACAGGGTCTGGGGGACTGTTTTTGTAGCCTGCCTGCAGGAGTCTTTACTGCTGGCATGCTAATGTGGCTATGATAGGTGGGGAGGGCTTGGGGCTTTGCCCAGAACCTAGGGCATATTGGATGTGTGATATGAATGAGAAGTGGGTCACTCTTTTTGTCTCCATTTTCATTTTTATTTAAATATTTACATTATTTTATTCTATTTTCTGTAAATGTCCCCAAATTCCTCCATGTTATCTCACCAATTACCTCTTTTTAAAATTATTATTGTTTACTATATGTAAGTGTATGTGTCAATTTGTTTGTTTTAAAAACCAGGAGACAATTATAATATCAGGTGAATGTAAATTGTGCCCAGTTGACAGTTGGAACTAAACATGATGTAGCCTTCCAAAACAATTTAATACCAATATTTTTTATAAAAGCGTTTATTTTGCACAGCAAATTGAAAATAATTGAATGGTCTCTGATTGTACACAAAGGTCTAATAAACCAACAATGTAAATTAACGATAGCCTATTCTTTAAAATCTGGCTATCTACCCATAGAAAAATAAAAGTAGCTTTTATGTCTTTACACTGCTTATAAATCTATTCAAATCATTCTGAGAATGTCATTACAATGTAAAATTCCTGACACCAAGTGGAAAAGTTTAGGGAAAATACTTTTGGGTTTAGGTATCTGTGTGAATTTTTCATTGACCTCAACTAAAACAAAAAGGAGAATCAAAAATAGGCAATTCACTACCTGAGGTTACATAGCTTTTCCTCAGCAAGACAAACAGACCTAACTGAACACAGAGACATTCTGCACATTGAGATAAATATGTTCCTGCTCTTCTTCAGACATGGTACTAATCTATGGTATATGTGAAGAGGAGCAAAAATTTAACACAAAATTTGATCAATAATTAAAACCATCCCCACATAACATAAAGCATAAGTGGGCTTAACCATAAAAGTCCAGCTTCAAAACAATCCAAATATTTACCCATCATGACCTTATCCACGCTGACCACCTCAGGAAACAATCCATTTCCATTCTGGTCTCACAAGTTATCAGGACTTAGATGCTTAATAGAGCTTTTGGGATGACCTAAGTGTACAGCCACTTCAAATTTTACTCAAGATAAATGAAGTGCAGGTTATTGTGATCACCAGTAAATGCCTATATTTCTTTTCAGAAGTGAAACCTCTTCACTCTATACATAACAGATAAATACTGGACATGTGTTTCAGTGTAGTGCAACTACCTGCTCTATGTACCTTTGACACTTTGAATATGTATTTAAGTAGAGGAAAGCTTTTAAATACACCACAGTGCCTGTGTGAATGCATGATTAAGCTGTTAGACATACATATTCATGTGAAATCCTTCAAAATTTAGATGTACAGTCATAGTACTTTCTCTTCTTCAGGTTAGCTTCATTTAAAATATTGTAAGCTAACATATGGTGGGTGGACTATACAAGATCTTATGTTATTTTATATATTGAAGGTTTTCTTTCAATACTTTTTGTTCAAAGGAAAGCATAAGAGAGGGTAGAACTGTCTCTAAGGATGTAAGTGGGAATCAGGCTTTCATATTGAATGCATGTTTCATCTTTGAAAAGAAGACACAAGGGTACATCATGTCAATTTTCAGAATATAAATGGGAAGCATAATCTAAGCATTGATATGAGGTCACTGATTTGGAATTGAGACAGAAAGTATTTTTGGTTTTAGAGAGGCATCAATAGAATATTGGTTTATTAATATGAATGATTCATTCAGAAAAGAATAAAAGACTCCTTGAGGAGTGACATAGGTAATAATCAGTTATAGACAGCAGGTGGCCTATGATTTTCAGTAAACCATTTCTGGTTAACATTTTCTTGATGTTTTCCTTCTCTCCTCCTATGGTTTCCTTTGTTGGAAGACGTTTGTATCATCCAAAGTTACTTTGCGTGTAGGTATTTTCCAAGAAAAATTTCCACAAGTGTACTCAATAGAAGTTCTCCCTGGTGTCTGTACTGGTGGAGGTAATCATGAGTCTCCCAGATAAAGATCTCCAACTCTATTTTGGGACTTGTTTTTCTACATCTCTAATGCAGAGTCTCATATGGGAGTATTTAGAGAAGACAGTTCCAGAATTCTCCATAGAGATGAAACGGCCTGCCAGAAAGATTTGTGATTAGAGTGATGACTTCACTACCAACAATATTAAAAAGCTCACAAACACAGATGCTGTGTATACAGCTAATGGCCACTTTCAGATCCATGTCCCAATGCTTATACTGTGTGAGATACTTCTATTGTATGATGTTCTCATGGATTTTTATCTTCTGGCTTTTGCAGACTCATGTTCTTGTGTGTACCTTCAATAATGTTCAGTGCCCTTGGAGCACAATACAATGGAATCGACACAGAGAAGGAAATGTGGTGATTGCTGCCTTCATTCCTCTTTCTGTTTACTATCTGGTTAACAGAAGCTCTGCTTTTCATGTTGAAGGATCATATGTATCAAAGTAAGTGCTCTTAAAAATTCATTCATTTTCAATATTCAGTTTTCTTTGTCCTCAAGTAATTTGGATGCACATCAATGTAACTTTTATTTCCCTTCCTGGTTTTCTACTGTTGCTGCCACATGTGTATTTTTCCCAGTGTGTTTTTATGTTCACCCATTTTCTTCTCTCTATGATAGACATGGAGTGTGCTTTTATTTATATTATTTAAGCATTTGATACCACAGTTTTCTCTACTTTGCTCTTCCTTTCCTTTAGGTGCTCAGGGCTAGAATGATGAATTCTAATTGATACATTGTTTTGGTTGATTTTCAAGTGTAGTTGTTCTCCTGGGAGGAATAATGTCAATGACTGTCATGACTCCAGAGTCCTATATGTGATATTACAAGGACAGGCTGGGCATGTGCCTGCTTTTTTGGATTTGAGTGGAGGAATGTGAGAATTTGGAGTTGAGACTTCATGAATTACAAACTTTCATCTAACTCACAATGCTTCTTTAATTTTTCATTAGGAATCTTGCATATTCTGTCAATTTAACTTCATTTCCTCCACTTGATTACTGTTTTAAATATTTACAGATATGTTCAGGAAGACTCATTGATGTTGATGGTGGTCACTGAGGGCTGTTTTTAGTTAGTTGACATCTGTAGGATTAGAGGAGAGTGGCAGACAAATTGATAGAATTGAGTGAGATCTGCTGGAGAGAAAAGCCTATGTAGAATTCTTGTGAAGGTGCAAGATTTATTTTATTCCATTTAGACATTTCTGTAACTGTACTGTCTATGCATTAATATATCAAATGGAGGAAGATGGTATGCATTTAATTTAGAACACAACCCTGTAAAAAGGAAATGCAGAAGCAAGTTCCAAGTGGAGAGTCAGCTGATAGACAGGAGTGAAGACAAATTTAGGTTCTGGTGATAATTGTATTGCTCCTGAAACCTGGATAAATTGTTAAGTCACCAGTGGAGGAACAGTGGAGAAGGAAAAATGCTAAAGTAGAAACTTTGGTAAGTACTAAGAATGTCTTGACAACTTAAGCTTAAATAGACAAATGTTTCCACAGAAATCCAAAAACAGTTTCATGCCCATGTGATTACATGCAGGAACTGAATTTAGTTTGCCCTTTTTGCTCTTCAGTTTATTGTCCTCACAGTTTCATTAGATGTATATAGGTATGTTAATTCTGATCTGCATAAAATGGTAATTAAATGTGTGGCCTGTGATGTTTTCCATTATAGAAGTTTATTTTTGAGACAGGGTTTCTCTGTACTGCTTTGGAGGTTATCCTGGAACTCGCTCTGTAGATTAGGCTGGCCTCAAACTCACTGAGATCTGACTGCTTCTGCCTCATGTGTGCTGGAATTAAAGGCATGCGCCACCAACGTCCGGCTCCCATTACAGACATTTTTTGTTGCTTAATCTCTTATATGGTTATCTTTCATGTAATATTTAAAATGATGTTAAGCAAACAATCCTTATATTCTGTTATTGCACCAGAAAATTTATAGAGGTGTTATGGAAATTGTTTTTGAGACTTCTCAAATTTCAAAATATGAATATAAAGGTACATAGTTATTTCATTTCTGGCCCCATCCCTACCTAATTCTTTATCCTGCAATGGATATTCTCTAATCATTTTGGATAAAGTTATTATTATTTAGTTGTAATTTTAAAACATTTAAAAATTTGAGTGATATTTTACAAATAAATATACATCTATTTCAATGTATTTATAAATCTAGGTACACTTTTATGCAAAATTTGAAACATTTCTTCTGGTTGGGGAAGTTATTTTTTTCTGTCTATCTCTCCAAATGCCATGGTTGTTTTGTGTCAAAATAGTGTATCATATGGGTTGTGTAATTACTTCAGGTTGTATGAAGCAACTTTTGTGTATTATGGACATTTATAATTTTTCTGTTTAAATATATATTACCATTATAATTTTATGCTCTGTACTAGGTTTTATTATCACTTTACCAGTGCAGTTACTACTAGGTGCTTTACTCAGTAGTGTTTTATAATTTCTGTTTT